TTTCATCTTCATCCCAAGTAGGCATATAAAGGGTGCTGACTACAAATTCTCCTGGTTTTGTGAAATTTTTGACAAATGCTTCCTGTGGTGATGACACCATTAAAATTTTGCAACATTGATAATCATGATTAACAGGAGGCTTAATGCCATCAATAATGATCCATGCTGATTTATTACCAAAAATATACATTGTAAACACTTCTTCAGTGATTTTTTCACCTTTTCCAGCCTCAAAACACAAGTACCAAATAAGGTTTTCCCAATCCCTGGGTTTCCAGTAATAAGGAATCTCATATGTATTGTATCATTCTTGATAAGTTTTTGAAGATCTTGATAACAACTTCTAATAAAAATTCTATGGGACTGAAAATTTGGAAGAAGTGGAAGTTCTAAGTGTGATGTTCCCAAATCAATTTCATGTGAAGCTTTTATAAACTTGTTGATCTGTTCTTGGTAGTGACTTGTCTCTAGTTTTATTTTTTTGTTATGTTGTATTTTATCATCTATCAAAGTGCAAAAAGCATTTAATTAATAATGTATTATGAAAAGAGTGAACAAAAGAAGGAAATACAAAATTCTAAACTTACCTTTTTAAGCAAATATGTTAGAGATGAATAAAATGGATAATAAGTTAATTAAAATTGTAAAACACTCAAATAAATAAATAAATGAAATGGAATGAATGAAAAATAATTTTTTGCATATTTTTTACGCAATTTGTTCATTACTTTCTTTGCCAAATCCAACTAGTGCTTTCTGCAAATCCACCACCTGATCTCCCCACTTCTTCTTCTCTCTTTCCAACTCTTCTTCTTTTCTTTCCAAGATTTCTTTCTCACCAGCATACTTTTCTTCCTCACCTTCTCTTAACTTTTCCAACCTCTCCAACAACTTCTCCGCCTCCCCTAATCTTGCCTTTGCATCATTTAACTCTTTTTCGATATTTGCCATTTTGTTAAAAAAAAAAATCGCAAAATTTTTTTTTATTGATTTGGATCGTAATTAATTGTTTCCATAAATAATTTGGACCAATGATAAATTAGTGCGCACATGACTTGGAATTTTTTTACAATGATTTAACGACAAAAGAAAATTATTTTTATTTTAATTCAACTAATAATAGAAAAATACATAAATAATTTATAAAAATATAAGTTAAAGAATTGTCAAAGGATTGTATTGGAGGAAAAATACTCAGACCCAAAGCCATTTGTAAGTATTACCTATTCTTTGGGCACTACTAACAATTTACCACGTGATTCCTCCTATCCTTAAATTGATAAGCCGATTTTATTAAACCAAAGATTTTTTTTTTTGACTTCGGTTTACGAGTTCTGTAAATTTTTTTATTTTATGGTATAAAAAAATAAACACCTACAAAAATATTGATCATAGAAATTCCGAGAATAGCAAAAAAATTATCTCAAGAAATGAGTGAGTGTATATACAATTAATTTCAAATAATTAATATTTATCAATCAACTTCCAATAATTAATATTACATGATTACCTTGACGAAACTTCATATGTGAAAATACAGTTATGTGAATTTGAAATTCACTATATGTGAAAATGAAATTAGCGAATTAAAAGGAATTTCACACTCACAAAACCATGACTTTCATTTGATAATTACTATAAATTTTTACAATTCTGTTAAATTTTATATGTGCGCACAGCCGTGGAAAGTAGTACTAGTACGTATGCAAGAAATCACTGATGACATAACAATTTGGGATTATCATTTATCAAATGATTTTATTACTTTTGACATATTAATATTAATTATTAATACACTGTAAAAAATCACTTCACGAAAGAAAGAATGCGATTAATTCCTGTGCCAGACCTTCCTCCAGTTTTTTCTATTCGTGTTAAATATCCCCAGGGATCTACATACAAAGCACATGTGACATCGGACACTACTATAGAGCTATTGCTGAAGTCCGCTAAAGAATATCTTGGAGAAGAACAAAAAAATTATGACTATAAGCTTGTATATAGTAAGCAGGCCATGCAATATACTGGTACTCTTAAAAAGCTAGAATTAAAAGTGGGTGTTTATATACAAAAATATTTCTGAAATGAATTTTATTATAAAAAAGATTTGTTTATAGAAGGGAAAGAAAAATACATACACGCAATATCAATCAATAATTTTTATTATTATTAGGAAGGGGATTTAGTTGAAATGAAATTGATTCCATTTGAAATTTATGCAAAAATGCAAACTGGTAAAATTATAAAACTTCATGTGACTGCCAGAAACACTGTTTCTGATATTAAAAAAATGATTGAGGATAGTGAAGGTATTTCTCCTGGTCAACAATGTCTTACTTTTTCTGGCAAGAAACTAAGAAATGGGTGTACCTTGAGTGATTGCAATATTCAAAATGAGTCCATAGTGAATCTTGTGCCTAGATCACATAGAAGTGGGAGCATGAAAATTTTTGTGAAAACATTTACTGGAGGAACTATTACTCTGTATGTAGAACCAAGTGACACCATTGATAGTGTAACAGAAATGATAGAAGATAAACAAGGTATTCCTTCTGATCTACAACGGCTTATTTTTGCTGGAAAGCAAATGTTAAGTGGACGTACCTTGAGTGATTACAATGTTCAAAAGGAGTCCACATTGCATCTTATAGTTAGATTATGTGGAGGAATGTTTCAGGAAACCAGTGGACGCCTAGAATTCAGTGTATTACCGCCACTTACACAATACCTGCAGCTGCAAGCTCCTGAAATACATATGCAAGGTAGATCTCATGTTGGTATTGTTTGTAATTATTGTGGTAAAAAAGAATGGAAAGGTGCAAGGTAAAGTAATTAGTTAGCTTAGCCAATTTTTGTTACAAACTATCAAAATATTTATTTTATTTCATTGATGCAATTTATTTAGGTTTAACTGCTCAACATGCCTTGATTATGACTTGTGCTATGAGTGTATCAAAATGGCCAACTTGCTTCATGATAAGCAACATAATTTTGTGGAATACTTGTATCCAGTAAATGAAAAAGATACTCCAAAAAAAGATATCACAACTAATCCTATTACTGTATTACCAATACTTCCAACAACAAAAGAAGAGATGTTGAAATTATTACATGAGGAGGAAAAGCGAAGACTGTCACCAGAAATGCAACAACAATATTACAAAGTTGGAAGCGATCCCACATCTGGCAAGGACTGGATGGATGTCACTGATCAAATGCAACATGAGTTAGTTCGAGAGTTTGGTTACTCGGATGAGGCTGTACAATTATTAAGACGTGCTCCACAACTTTATCAAGGTGAAAAGATATTCTCCTTTTTTTTTGTCATTGTATTATTCTTAGCACTATTCATTAATTTTCTTTATTTTTTCCAGATGATCCTGAATTTTATAATACTCAATTATATGTTCGCAACAACATTGCTTCTGTTGGAGACCTCAAAGAAGGAATGCCAGCACCTGATTGTCCACTGGTTTCCTTAAACACTACAACAATGAATGTTGAAACTATCAGTTCACCACCAAAAATAACTCAATTGCACTCTCTTTATAAGCAAGGACGACCTTTTGTTCTTCTTGGTGGATCACATACTTGTCCTTTGTATCGTTACATATCTCATGTGCTTAATGAGATTTATGAGAAATATCAAGGATGTGCAGACTTTTACATGATTCAAATTCGTGAAGCACATGCCAGTGATGTTTGGCCTATTGGTAATATTGTTGATGTTAAAGAGCACCGTACATTGGAAGAACGATTAGCAGCTGCACGTGAAATGGTTAAAGCTACTGATCTGAAGATTCCTGTGCTTGCTGATACAATGGATAATAATTTTTTGAAGTTGTATTCACCTTGGCCATTCCGATTTTTTGTAATTGTAGATGGTATTTTGAAACTTGTTGGAATGCCAAAAGAAGCACGATATGATACAACAGATCTAGTCAATTGCTTGGACACTCTTATTTAAAAATTATCCAGTTGGCTCTCAATTTAATTGTTAAAAATAAATAAATGAAAAAAATGATTTCATCATATCTGTTTATATTATATATTAATGAATATATGTAAGTTATATTTACTTCTTGATTCAAATATCATGTGATCCATTTATTGGTATTTAGGAACTTTTTATGGTACAGGAGCTTTATGAAGCTTTGCCATTGTAAATTCTCCTACAAATATTATATGATTTCCTTTGAATTTTATAATAATAGAATATAAGGGCATTAAATATAATGTAATATATTTTTACTTTAGATTACCATGAGAATCAAAAATATTACTTGACCTTCTTGCTTTATTCTTCATCAACAATTTCAGTGAATGATGTTCGTGATTTTTTATTATTCTTTCTATGATTATTGACGTGCGTGGCGCATTTTTTTAATGCTTGTTTTTGAATAATTCTATAGCTGAATACCATTTGTCATTTCATTTACTCCGGCTTGTTATGGAATTAATAATATAATCATAACCATAATGCAATTATAAACACAAATAAAATCATTTTATGGTCCTAAGGTTGGAAACCAATGGATCAATGTTTAATTCGTGATCCTTTTAAGAAGGAAAGAATTTTGATAGTGATCGGCGGGGCGCATTTGCAACATTTTATAGTAAAAATCATCCAGTTCGCTTCACACAATTATTGTAACGTGATGTTTCCACTTGCATTTTTGTAGAACAAACATTTGGATATCAATAAACAGACCATTATGAACATTTATATATA